TAGGCAATTTTGGGTGACTGGGCAGTGTAAGTCACAGCTTTCATCCTCAGGATGAGTACTGTGTACTGGGAAAGAAAGACCAGATAACAGAATGACTCGATGATGGGTAAGGCACGGTGTGTGTGATGAAGAACCAGAATCACTGCTGTGCAGAGGCTACAACAGAGTGGATGTCTAGGCCAAGCTGCAGAACTTGTTTACAAGTGTTGAATCTGAGTTCCCTTAGTCAGGGTGGGTACTTTGCAGTTTGCTGCTTGGTTTATTTACTTATCTGCATGGCTGCTTAAGGCATTTGAATTTGTGACCCCCAGTAGGCATGCTGGTTTAATTTGGGTCACTAGAAAAGATTTGTTTAGCACTTATACTAGGTGCCATCCATTGTATCAGCCACTGTTCTGGAACTGACTGTAAAACTTTCCAAGCCTCTTCTGCTAGATGAAGGAAATAATAATAATAATAATGGAGCAACACCACCAGCGGTGCTTTGCCTTTTATATTGATTTTCTTCCCCTTTCTCCTTCACGATATATTTTCTCATTTTGTCATCAGTGTATTTCAACCTAGCAGGTAGGGCTTTTTTATGCCGGGGAAACACAGCCACAGTGTTTTTGCAGCTTATTTGAGTTCACAAGTTGGAATTCTACTTACTCTGTGTCAGGTGTTACATTTAAATGATTTACATAATGTATGAAATGTTCCCAACATTATAGAGTAGGGTTCATTCTACTCCCCATTTTACAGGTATGGACATTGTTAGAGCTGAGATCCAAATCCAAGCCTGTCCCCCTCCAGAACACAAGCTCCTGACCACGGAACTACACTGCCGCGCTGGCAGGTCACGGTTGGAAAAGCCCTCAAAACATCTAGCCCAAACCCCTCCTGTAGGTTGGACCTGAGGTCCAGAGAAGCTTGTACTCACAGCAGAGCTGCACAGTCAGGGGGGGAAACGGACTAACCCCGAGTGGGCTGTCGGCCTTCCTTGTCCCTGACTGGTGGTGTGGCCTTGCCAGCTTCTCTGGACCTCTGTTCCCTTATGTATAAAATGAGAGGGCTTGGCCTGGTTTTTTCAGCGAGAACAATGCTGTGTTATTATGGTTGGTACTGAAGGAGTCAGGCCCACAGCCCAGGATTTCAGTCATTACCCAGGTCTTGTGGGCTCAGCACACTCCCTCTCTGCACAAGCTTTGCCCTCCTGTGCACCCGTGGTAGTCTGTTGAAGAGAAACGGTTTCGTAGAGTTCATCTGTATTTTTCATCTCAGTTTCTGTTTCCTTCCATTTCCGAAAACAGTTCTGTAAACACTGACCCCTTCTGAAGGCCATCCCCTTGATTATTACAGTTAGGGATTTGCAAAGTTCCAGGCAATGGATAATTCTGGTATTAGTGTTTTTCTTTTAAAGGCAGGTAGGTCTAGGGACATTAGGGATGTTTTGGTGTGAAATTCTGTGGCACAGCTGTGCCAGGCCTGTGCTGCAAACTTTGGGGAAGAGGAGGTGGGGGTGCAGACACAGGCTTGATGAGTCCCTGCTCTCAGATTGCTCACAGTTCTGTTGGCTGAGGCTCTCAACACCGGCCACCTGTGAGATCACCATGGGGGAGTTTTTCAATGACGTGGTATCGATGCTTACAACCAGTCTTGAGAACCACTGGTCTAGAATCTGCTTCTGAGACTTTAACATGCATGTGAGACCCCCAGGGATCTGATCTGAAGGCAGATCCTGATTCAGTGGGTGATTCTACATGACTGCAGGCTCCTAATCTTACAGATCACACTTAGGGCAGCAAGAGGAGAGACTGCACATGGAGAATTATAAATCACTGGGATTGAGAAAGTTTATGTCAGAGACTGGGAACACAGATGAGGGTGCAATTAATTTTGCCTGTGGTGAGAGGACTAGAATGCCCCATAGAAGAATGGTTGTCTGAGCTGGGCCTTGAAGGATGAGTAGAAGTTTGTCAGTTGGACAAGGTGGAAAGAAAAATGGTGCAAGTAAAACACACTTCAAGGAGCAGAATGTTTGAGGGAACAAGGTGGTCTGGTGTGACATCGGTAGCCTCTACAAAGAGAATCCAAAACCCAATTCCACCCTAAAAGCCACGTGGAGCTGGAGTAAGCTGAGTGCTCTCTACTCGGGAGTTTAAACTATTCCGTAAGTACAGGACCGCCGCAGAAGGCTTCTAAGCAGGGTAAGAGGAGACCTGGACGATTCCGAGGGCAGGTGTTCAGGGGGAGAAGCCCAGATAGTTCCCCTGTCCCCATACTCTTCCTCGGTGCACTTTGGCTCTAAGTTAGAGGCTTTTAACTGATGTTTGGGTGAGTCTTGTGTCCAACAAATTTCAACAAAAAGGAGAAACTTCAGCTGTTGGTGGTACGACATTCCTTCTCAGTGTTCAGAAACACTGTAAGTGGCAGAACCGGAATCTCTGCCAGCTGAATTCCCCTCTTTGGTACCTGAGCCTCATCTTCATTCAGTGGTCACCTAAGGGAAGTTGAGTCACTTCTCAGATGAGAAGATTTCAGGGGGGAAGCTTCTGTTGAGATAGTGTTCTTGATTAGAAAGAGGGTGTGAACTCTAGTTGCCTTCCTGGGGCGGTGTATTCTGTTGCAGGAAATATAAACCGGACTTAGCCGTGCTGCTCCCGCCGAATCAAAAGCAAAAGAACAGAACAAAAAGCACATGGCAACCCTTGTCCGCGAAGGAATGGGGGAGGAAGGGCAGCTGGAAACCCTGCATTCTTCATTCTGAATTCCTTCCTGATGGGAAAGGGATCGGCTTTCACTTCCTTTCTTCAGAGGGGCTGAACTGCCCGCTGTCAGAATCCAGCTCCAGGAGCAGTCCCGGCATGGATAGTGACTGATGAAGCTCCAAGGAGCCTTTTGTAATGGTGCTGACTTTATAAGCACACCTTCCAGAAGCCACTTAGAGAATGCTCCATTGGAGACACAGATGTTACTTTGTTTCTGTTGTTTCCCCAGCTTTGCCTTTGAAAACCCCACCTTGCATTCTCATGTAGTCCAGGATATATTCTTCAGATCAGTGTGTGCCTCTCCCTTTTTGTGGCATTTTGCATTTTCCAAGTCATCTTTCTATCTGCCATACTTTGAAGACAGTAGGAGGGTAAGGGATTATTTAATCCAGAAGGGGTGTAGTACTTCTTTGCCTGCTGGGCCTGGATGTAGAAGCACAGCTCCCCTACCCTGGCTGTTTGCCGTTGAACTCTGTAGTGCTGCTGAGTGGTAGACCAAGAGGCTGTTTATAACCCTGAGACTTTTGCGTTGTTACTGAATTGTGTCGACCTGATTTCCTTTCTAAAATGAACACGAAGAGTAAGCAGAGAAGTGCAGGATGAGTTCCCCACGAGACCCTTTATCCTGGGAATATTATCTGGAGAATATTATTACTTCTATCTTCCTATCTCCTGATGTTTCCATAGGGAGAAAAGCAGAGGGATATTTTGCCCTCTCTTTTAGTTAGAGTCAGGGATGCTAAATCTGGTTTTCCAGTGAGACACGTTCTCATGTTAGATATGGAAACTAAACAATAGAAATACTGTGTAAGTTGAAAGGTGGTGGGACATGGAGAGAACACCAAGCAACCAGAGCAATTTCTGCCAGTCCCTTTCCACTGAGAGCGAGTCCTGGGAGTTGAGGAAGTTGGAGCTGATAGATTTGAGCAGGCACGGGGGCTTGCTGATCTGTAACTGTATGCCAGGTGCTATGCTAGGTTGAGACTCTAGGGTGTACCTTCCTTGGAGGAGGAGCTAGTGAGGAAGAGAGATGTGTAAATATGTAACTGTAGTAGAATAGGACAAGAGCCTTCCCAGAGGTAAGAACAGTGCTGAGAACACAGCGGCCCCGATCTTATTTTATTTTGCTAGGGCAATATAGGGAAAGCTAAGAATGGTACAGAGGTGAAGGGACATCTGAGCTGGGCTTTGATGCTTGAGTAGGAGCTCTTTTGACCGTCAAAGGAAGAAACAGAAAGTGCAAAGGTGCAGAAGACATGAAACAACGTGGCCTGCCTTGTAGAAAGTGCAAGTAGTCTAGGGAGACCTGGCTAGGTTGAGAAGTACTGAGTGCCACGTAAGGGTGGATCACTTTTAGGAAGGGGAGTGCCTGTTTAGGCAGTATCTGTTACAGTAGTGAGCTCATGGTATACGGGTCTCTTAGCTTCGTGTGCCTCAGCTTCAGGTACAGCAAACCAAAAATCCCCACTGCCAACCTGCTAGGGGCCACCACGTACAGTGCTCCGTGCCTTCTCATGGTGATCAAACACCATAGACCCCTGGGATAAAATTCTGGCTGTGCACTTAACAGCTCTGTGACACTGAGCACAAGGTACTTGCTTCTTCTGTGCCTCCATTTTCTTGTGTGTAAAATGGGGATGATGATAGACTACACGGGGTTGCTGTGGGCATTAAATGGAGTCATATGTGTAAAGCCCTTGAACAGCACCTTAGCGTCATGTCATCAGCTGTGACCATCAGCAAAGGAAGGGTTATGCAGAGGGTAGAGGACCGCCTTTGAAGTCACAAGGTGCAGCCTTGAGACCCAGTCCTGATGTGATTTCTTTCTTTCTGTTTTTGTGGTTGGCATGAGGAAGACAAGTTTCTCAACTCACCTGAACTTCAGTTGCCTCACTGGTAAAATGGGGATGATTTTCAGGGTTCCTGTGAGCATCAGCGATAATGATGCTTCATAATAATGCTACAGAAGTGAGTGACCAGCTCTCAACAGAGTGTCTACACATTACTACCATATACAGGATGATTCCTGTGAAGTCACCGTGTAACTAATCTGTTTAAGCAAACCAGATTTACCTTAAGTGGGTTTTGTACTTCATTAATTCAGCCAGTGTGTATTATGGAGCCCTGCTCAGTGCCATCTTCGTAGGCCTGTCCTGCTGCTGTCTCTTCAGGCCTCCATTTTAGAGTTCCTTCAAAGCTGGGGTCCACCTTAGTCTTAGGCTTTTTAGTTGCAATGAAGAGAAATGCAGGCTAGTTTAATTTAGAGGAGGTTTATTAGCAGGTTACAGAGGAAGTTCAGGTATCTCAGCTGTAGGAGGTGTAGCTGTAGAATCTGGAAAGTCACCAGGCAAATGGCTTTTCCCATCTCCTTATGGGACTCTGTGGTTTCTGGCCTCCACTTGACTACACATTTCTGGATTCTTCTTGCAGAACAGCTTCCTTGCCAAGGCTCTTGGTTTTTGCTTCTCCATCATTTTGGCTTGTGAATGGCTTTGGCTTGCCATGGTTCCAGCTCTGAAGCTGTGACCTTTTTGCTCCAGAGCCCATTGTCATCCAACTCCCTTAGTCTCTGTCTTTAAGGTTAAGAAAAATATTTGATTAGTCCAGCCAAGGTGGAGTGTTCATGTGGGTCCCATCCTCTGTGGCCTGGTTGGGGGGCTGACATCCAGTACACATGGGCTGCCTGCGCTTTGTGGGAAAGGGCAGAGTCACTGACCATGGGGGCTTATGATATCTCCCGACTAGTCCTGGTGGCTGCAACTCTCCAAGCTGTAACACGGATGTGAATTTTTAGAATAGACAAGAATCACCAGGGCTAATTTAATAAGGAAAAAGACAGTCAACCTAGGAAATGCCATAGGCGGTTGAAAAGTGCAAGGTTGAGCTTTAGCTTGCTCATCTCCAAAGGCAGTGTCTAGAAAGGAATTCCAAAAAATACGATTTGTTTCTTAGCAGCTCCATGAAAATAAGTGTAGCTTCTTTTGGTGAGGACTTTGAAATGGGCAACCTTCACTTGGATTTTTTAGGTCTCCTTTAAAATCGTGGACTTGGAGACTTAGAAGGCAGCTTACACATGATTTACTGCAACACATCTCGGCAGAAGGAAACTGAAAACATCACCCACATTTTTACGTGGGTAAAAGGGACATGTACGCATCACCCAGACACTTAGTAATAGAACTGTGAGTAGGTTCTGAGTCCTTGGGCTCTAAATCCAGCTGCTGCTTGAGCAGGGAAATCGTCCCAGCCCCGTGCTTTTTCTGTTATACCAAAACTGCCTACTTCTTTTAAAAAGGAAGAACTGAGCTAAATAACAAATGGCTTAAAAAGCCATACTTTTCAGTTCAATATGTTTAAGTATCAAAACAGGCAAAACTAATGTATGATGAAAGAAGTCAGAAAGAAGTTGCTTCTTGGAGGGCTGGAAGGTAGGGAGTTGGATGGAAGGAGGAAGGAGGGAATTTTCTGGGGTGTTGAAAATGTTCAAAGTCTAATTTGGGGAGGTGGTTAAGGCAGATGTGTGTTTCTTTTATGTGTATGTAAATATTTATATACACACATACATATGTGCTGTTCCTTCTATGGCATGTAAACTATAACTCACTTCTAAAAAATGGTCTTACAACTCTACAGCGTACCCCCTAATTATGGTCGATTTAAGCATAAGGATAAGGATGCCTGCCTACACACCCAGAGATTCATGGGACCATCCCTGCGTGGCTGTGTCACTGGGGCAGTGTTTGAACCAGGAGCTATTCTATTGGAGCCAGTTTATTCCAGAGGTTTGTTGTGTGTCTAGGCATGTAAAAATTAGACTTGAGAAATTGTGCTGGAGGTGCAGGAGCTGGGGAAGATTGAGGAGCCATCAGGCCAGCCCCCTTCAGCCCCCTTAGGTCTGATTTAGTTGCAATGAGCAGAAACTCAGGCCAGCTCCGTGGGGAGGGGAAGAGCACTGGCCAGAATCAGCTCCAGGTCCTGTCGTCTGCACTACATATTAGTTGGGTGAACTTGGGCAACCTAAGCAGAATCTGAGCTTCAGTTTTATCATCTTGAAGGAGAGGTGATAATTCTGCTCTGCCTACTTCATAAAGCTGCTGGGAGGAGGGCTCAACCAAATAGGTAAAATCACTTGGAAAATGCTTTCTTTTACGCTGTCATGTTCTGGAAATGCTGGTATTGTTGATAGCTGACTTCTGCAGCAGTCCACTCTGATCAGGAAACGGTCATGAAAGCTTCCCTCTTCTGAGACCTGTGGGTTTACAGGGGAAGGGACTTTTACCTCTTTCACCAAAGAGGTTTATACTTACAAGGTTGTGAGAACTGACATCTGTATTTGGCTGAAAATTGATAACATCCATGCCCAGCTTAGCAATAGCCCTGCTGTGTATTCCAGGAGAGGCAAGTGGTCTCTATTAGTGAAGCATTGCAGGGGAGTGGCTAAGGCTGGAGGATGTAGAGAAAGGTCTTTTTCATTAAGAGAGAGGCCTCTCCTGAACCTGTGTAAGGAGTGTAAATATACATGGAAATAATCCATCAGCAAGTGACTTCCCTTCATCAGATCTTGCAGAGCATGTGCTTTAGAATATCACTAAGCTAGCAGAGTTGCCTAGGATACGGGTCACATGAGCCCATCTCCCAGACTTGTTCAAAATAATTTATTTTCCTTTATTTTGGAGAAGAGTCGGGGAGGGGTCTGGGGCACTTGCAAAGCCTGGTCCTCCCATAGAGGGGCCTTTGTGTGGGGTATCCTCACCTCCCTCCACTCTTGCTCTCGGCAGTCCTTGCCTTTGGCAATAGGGACTAAAATAGCATTTCCTGTCCCAGTTCTCTTCCCCATTTTCTGAACTCTGCGTCATCCCGTAGAGAGGAGGCTCCACATTGCATCCTTTGAGGGAGAAGGAGTGGCAGCAGTAACAAGGGAGGAGGCAGGGGAGCATGTGGCTGGGCCCTGCTGACGCTGGGATCGTCTTCTGACACTGCAGAACAAAAGTAGGCTGGCTTCTTCAGCCAACCCTCAACCAAGAACAGCCTGTGTCTTTCTTATCTGTCTCAGAGCATATACTTCTTCCTCCCAAGGTCCCAAGACAGGACTTTGCAGTCAATTCACTCTTCTACCAGTCTTCCTGACCTTTGAACTGAAGTGTCACATGGACAGATCTCGCTGCTGGCTGATCTGGGGTTGATAGATAGGTTTGTCCCATTTCTATGTGTTGATTCAATCTAAAGAGACAAAAAGCCCCAGGAGAAGTTGTGGTGTGATCTAGAAAAATTCAAACCAAGTGGTTCAGTATGTTACTTTGGATACTGTCTGTCTTCCAGTTCTACAAAATATCTAAGAAGAGTGAGAAATGAAAGAAAACTTGGTGACTTTCCCTTCTTTCTGATTATTTCTCCCCAGGCAGCTGTGTCTGTGTGTGCATCTCGGAGAAGTAGGGCCCCCTGGGAACGATGCCACCACCATCAGACATTGTCAAAGTGGCCATCGAGTGGCCAGGTGCTAATGCTCAGCTCCTTGAAATTGACCAGGTGAGCTCCCAAAATGAGAAGCGGTGACGCAGGAAGGGTCTGGGAGGTGCATGCAGAGCACGTTTCTAGGGATGGGACCCGGGCATCAGGAGTAAGGGCCAGCAGGAAAGCTGAGGCCTGGCCCAACCCGTGGAAGGTTGGGCACCACGGCTTGGGAGACGCTTCTCAGGGAACAAATCCATGCACAGGCCTCAGGCTGGTGCTGCATGGCAGCCCTTCTCGCCGGAACGGTGGCACGTGGTTGCTGGTGAAGGCTCACTCTCTCTCTTTCAGAAGCGGCCCCTGGCATCCATCATCAAGGAAGTTTGTGACGGGTAAGTTGAAACGGTCCTTGCTTTGGACGATGGCAGGCTAGCGACCGAAAGAGCACTGCCAGACCTTGGGAGGAATGCTGCTGAAGGGTGTTCAGTTTGTTGGGTCCCCGTGATGGGTCGTCATCTACGAAGGAAGTGCAGCTGATGAGCCTGTCCCTAGGACCTGCTGTCCGTCTTTATTTTTCCTTTAAGTCACGGAGGGCCTGGTGGGATCCGAGATCCAGGCTGAATCACATGTACCGCCTTTTGGGTTGCCAATCTACAAAAGCCAGAGGAGGTTATTTTTCAACATCTCAACCGAAAGCTTTGTTTTTTCTCCCCTTGTCCTCCATACAGATCACCCAGTCCCTTGAGCGACTCTCTTGAAAACTGTTTATTTTCAGCTTCTAGACAGGCCCAGAGAAATGGCCAAACAGGCTGACTACGTTTTTCTCACCTAGGTGGTCGTTGCCAAACCCGGAGTATTACACCCTCCGCTACGCTGACGGCCCCCAGCTCTACATCACGGAGCAGGTTAGCGCAGGGAGCCGCGGAGCCATGCAGGCCTCAGTTTGAAGGCAGCCACCCCAGGAGACAGCGCAATCTGCTGTACCCACATCCAGGCAGCTTCCATTGCCTGGGGAAGGAGCTGCTTCCTGAGCAGATTAGGGAGGGCCAGCCATGTCCTCTCCAGTGGCGGGAAAATGGGTGTCCTTCCTGAGAGCCCAGGGCACTTGAAGGGGACCTTAGGTCTCCGCCAAGAAACAAGCAGGAGAGGAGGGCCTGACCGAGGAGTCCCAGTCACCACTACTTCAGAAATGACAAGTTCCTGTGGATGCAACTTGCTTGCACAATTTTAATATTTTATCACAGTGACTCCTTTTTCTCTCTTCTGCGCAGACTCGCAGTGACATTAAGAATGGAACAATCCTACAGCTGGCTATCTCCCCGGTAGGTACTGTGCTTTCCTTAGGAGTTCGTTTATCCAGTACACATAGAGCTGCACCTCCCATGGGCCAGACGCTGTTCTAGAAGGCTGTGGAGGTGAAAAAGTCAGTCTCTGCCCTTAACACCTAGTTGGGAGTAAACAAATACAACATAAGGCCTCCCTCAAGGGTCTTAACAGAAAGTTGCTTAGGGAGCAGTGGGAACTCAGAGGAGGAACCACGTTACTCAGCCTGGGGATTCCCAGCAAGCCTTTCCCAGAGAAGGGGACCCTTAGCTCAGATGTTGAACGATACTTAGTTCAGCAAGAATCAGTTGAAGAAAGAAGAAAATGCAAAGTATTCCAAGCAGAGAGGTGTGCTTTGTGGAGGACAGGGGGTGTGCTGGAAGGCTGAGGGCCTGTGGCAGTCAGTGGGAAGCCAGAGGAGGAAGGTTCCCGGGCGGCCTGCTTGGGGGCTCGGACTTTGTCCAGAAGGGAACACAGGGGCAGTGAAAGATTCTAAAAGGTACGTTATGTTTAGATTTGCATTTTAGGAAGATTACTTTAGTCATGGTGTGGAAGATGGGCTAAAAAAAGGAAGGTTGGTGGTAGGAGGAATCTTTAAGAAAAGCTAATGAGGAATCTTTGAAGAAGCCCATGAAGGCAAATGGCCTTGGAGTCGACCTAGCAGTAAACTTGATGAATATGGTAATACTCTGATGTGGGAGGCAGGAGGGAATCCAGGGTGACCCCCATTTCTGCCAGAGCATCCCTTAAAGGGAACTAAGGAAGCATCCAGAGGCTGGAAAGAAACCTGGGCACCTATCCACGGAAGGCAGGAACATGTCAGGACTGGGAAAGGGATGGTGTGCGATGAGCTGGGAGTGACGTGAACTGAGGGAAAAAAACATGCAGAAAGCTACTTGCTGACCCGGGAGGCCGAGACCCCTGCTGCCCTTTGTGAGAACAGCTTTGCTGGGCTGCTGGGGTGATGGCCGGGGAACGGTGGCTGGAGTAAATGGGCGGTAAAACGGGAGAACCCTGAGTTCACCGTATTATCGAGAAGCTTGGTTACAAAAGGAAGAAGCAGAGAAGGTAGTAACTCAGAGTTGAAAGGATGTACTTTTTGAAAGGAGGTGACACATTGGTGTGTTTCAAAAATCAGAAAGTTTGACAGAGTAGTGAGAGGGCGCCCTCCTGCCCCCTCATCTCCCTAGTTCCCTCCCTCCTCTGATCCTCCATAGTTGTTAACTTCAGTTGCAGTTTTGTATGTGTCCTTGAAAATACGTTAAGGTGGAGGAGAAGGTTGATGGGGTGGTTAGGGAACAAGACCTTACTGAGGACAGGAGGGCCCTAAGGCCCAGGTGGAGGGACTCCCCCTGACTGCCTGCCTGAGGAAAGCAATCCATACGGGGGTAACTTAGGGACATTTGGAGAAAGGCTTCCAGAAAATTGAGGGCCCAGTGGCACCTCTTCTCTTTTATAGCCTATCTAAGAAGAAGGGCTATAAAAACAGCTAACATCTGTGAGTGCCTTTATTTTGCCAAATACTTTGCGTGTGTTGTAGCTTCATCTTGACCAACACCCAATGAGATGGGTACTCGTGATAGCCCCATTTTGCAGACAAGCAAACAGATGTGAAATGATTTGCCTCCTATCAAGCTGCCTCTCAGACCCAGGTCTGACTCCAGGCCGGTGTTCCTACCCATGTGTTCCTTTCTGCATCCTTCTCTTCTCCTGAACTCTTCTCGTCTTAAGGACTTCATTTTTCCCCCTTAAGCTCTACTAATTTAATATGACAGGAAGTTACTCACTTTCAGAGAGGTGCTGGAGCATTTCGATTTCGCAGGCCTCTCATAAAGAGTAGTTGACTTTCCCAGAAGCACATCTCTCTGGAACAAGAGGCAGCGGCCCAGAAACGCTGTCTCAGGAGGAAAATTAACATTTGGGTTGGGAAGTTTCTAAGTGTGATGCAGACCAGTGCTCTTCAAATTGCTCTATCCTGTGACCTTTTCTCACGGCGCACATTTTCTCTACTGTGAAGGCTTAGGAAGATTTCTGTACCATCAAGAGCAGTGCGCTATTAAGGAGCCATCTTCGCAGTAGTCAAGGGGGAGAGGGGGACGGGGGAGAGCCCTGCAGGCCTGACTCCTTGGCCGAGGACAGGAACTGGGCTCCCTCACTGCTTAGCTCCGTAAGGGAAAGTGCTGAGAGCTTTGTTCTCAAGGCTCTTCCATTCCAGCTGAGAACATTAATTAGCACACATGAAATGGTGATGAAATGGTCAATTGTCAGGCACTGACTGTAAAGTCAGTAAGTTCAGCTAAAGGGAAGACCAGTCAGCAGCAGGGAAGGGATTGTGACCGCAGCTCGCAGAAAGGAGGCAAGCCTTCTGCTAGGAGAAGTTCACGTGCTAGGAGGAGACTTTGTCGCTAGCCATCATTTTCCAAAAGTTACTTTGAAATTAGTAGCTGCTTCCAGCCTCTTGATATTCTTAAAGTTTCT